TTAATTATTGTTGTATTATGCTGCTGCGGATGCATGCACAGTATGTGTGAAATGTTTCCAGCTGAGGTGGTGACAAACACGTAAGATAAAACAAAACAAATGTGTCTCTGCAGACAGTTTGTTCTGCTTGCTGATGAAAACATCAGAATCAGAGTGAGGTGAATCATAGTTGTACAAACTAAACTGTGCTGTAATCCTGCACTTGAAAGATACATCTAATCTTATGCTGTTTATCAGTACATTTCATCCCCCGGATGTTTGTGTGCACAAACAGAGCTGTATTATAGATTGGTCCCACAGCTTGGAAAAAAAACACTCAATACACAGACAGGCAATCTGTTATTTCTCAGGAATTTTTTTTTATAGCTTTTCACTTTTACTGTGTATTTGATTTAATGGAAAGTAGCAGACAAGATTAAAGGAGAAAATCTACAAAAAAAGACCTTGAGAAAGACTCAAATTAATGGTAACCTTAGATTATGTGTTATCTCTTCTTTCTTTACAGTCATTTTGAAGTAATTATACTGAACTGATAATCGAATGCAGGTTACCGGCAACAAAAAAAAATCATTGTTGCTTTGTTATCTTCAAAATCAGCCAAAAAAAAAAAACATATATATATAAATATAATGAACATAACCCATTCACCTATTCATCACTACTCAAACATAATTTCTAGGAGACAGGATTGTTGATAAAAGATCAATGAATGTCTGAGGTCACTCATTTACATTTTACTCAAACGGACTCTAGAAGGCACCAAGGACGAGGGAGTGATAAGGACAGGTGACAAGTTTAAAACACAGCACAGAAAGAACAATTTTTAGACAAAGGAGTAGAGGAAAAAATTATATACTCAGGAGCAGACTATAGAACCAGGGAACAGGGCCATAATATCAAGGGATGGATAGATTAGCAGTTAGAAAGTGTGGCAGGGAGGGGAGAATGTGGAGGGAGAGAGAGAGAGAGAGAGAGAGAGAGAGAGAGAGAGAGAGAGAGAGAGAGAGAGCAAGAGAGAGAGAGAGATAGAGAGATAGAGAGATAGAGAGAAAGAGCAAGAGAGAGAGAGAGAGAGAAAGATAGAGAGAGAGATAGAGAGAGAGCAAGAGAGAGATAGAGAGAAAGAGCAAGAGAGAGAGAGAGAGAGAGAGCAAGAGAGAGAGATAGAGAGAAAGAGAGATAGAGAGAAAGAGCAAGAGAGAGAGAGAAAGATAGAGAGAGAGATAGAGAGATAGAGAGAGAGAGAGAGCAAGACAGAGAGAGTTAGAGAGAAAGAACAAGAGAGAGAGAGATAGAGTAAGATAGAGAGAGAGATAGAGAGATAGAGAGAGAGACAGAGAGAGAGAGAGAGAGGAAGGGATAGGACAGGGAGAGGAAGAGGTGTGGGGAAGAATGTGCTGGGTCTAGACAGACAGGAGAATATGGCCATACTGACTTCCTGTGTCTCACTTCCCATAGAAAAACATATAAAAGGTGTAACAGAGACAAACAGAGGGGGAGAGAATGCATAGCAAAGAGATGTTGGATTAAAATGCACATGACCTTTTGCCTGTATTTTCTGACTAGCCATGCTCATTATGGTTCCGGCAGTAGTTTCCTCTGCAGGCTCTAACAAACTGTTTGCAGGCTCCACTGCATTTGCACAAATAGTCCTGACCAGAATAATGACTCCAGATAAGCTGGGTGGTCGAAATCATAATTGACGCAGGCGCTGGGGATGAATCATCACACATGCTATCACTAATCAGAGTTTTAGGCTACATGGATGTTGCTCTGGGCTCTGTGACAATAATGCCCCAAAGGATGGTGTGAAAAGAGATGAAACTGAAAGAAAGAGAAAAGAGAGAAGTTCTCACTTGGGTTTAAGTGGTTGTGTTTTAAACAAATATAACTTGGTTTACATGAACAAAAAAAAACTGGCCACATGAAAAAACGAATGACCTGCTTCTCTCCTCTTTGTTTGTGATTTTACATCAGCGTCAAACAAACACATTTCACATCATTAACACAAATGAGTATTGATTAGGCAGCATGAATTAACACTTTGTTTGTGTTGAGTTGTTCAGTTGCTGCTGAACTGCTGGAGCTCTGCTCTCAATGAGGCTGAGAGTGTTTGAACTATACCACATGTGGTGTGTGTGGGAGGGTTTTTGTCGTGTACATGCAGGCTGTCATCTGTATAGAGGATATAGAACATTGTGTTCAATGACGCAAGGAAATAACTCAGATGCTAGGTACATTCTGTGGTATGTGGAGACTTTTAACAGTTTCTGGTGTCTGTATATAGCTGTAATACTTCTGACTGAGACTACAGGGCTAAAAAAGAAACCGGATGACTGGCTGTAGTAAAACAGAAGAAACAGAAAGTTATTTATATTTTGAATTTTTATGTGTTTAAAAAATATTAGTATTTAATAAAGGGTTACGTTTAGATGACCCTTTATTGTGTTTTATTTTTCTTCTTTTCTTTCTTTTTGCATTTCAGTGTTTGGAGAGCATTTCCCTTATCGTTTGTGTTTATGGGGCCAAGACCAAGATAAACAACCACACGCTGACATTGTGGCAAAAATCTAGAAAAAGTACAGTGCAATAGTCAGGCCAGGGTGTAGGGTTTAAAAGACCAGTGTGTATGGATTTAGGGGGATACATTTGCAGATATAAAAAATAATATTTATGTATTAATTAGCGCATAATCCATTCAACAGTAGCCTATCACATTGTTTTACTAAGACCACTAGGGGGATCAGAGTTGGTAATTGTCAAAAATGTATAAAACTCTGGTCTCTAGTTCACCACGCTTTGTTCAAATATTTTCTCTCATCTTTTGAATGCTGAACAACATTACAAAGTACAAAGACGAATGTTATTTTGTATTCTGTATCTATGGCCCTTGATGTTTCTTCTGCAATTTTGTACCATCTATGAGCAATGGCATTTTGTAAATATCTGTAAAGAAGGGTTTATTGTGATGTTTTGTAAATGGGGTATCTATGGTGATTTGTTAGTCACATTACAGATCAGTTTATTATATGTAAGAAAACTGGTATAGCTTCAGCTTTAGATTCCACCCTGTTGAAGACAAGATGGTGAATAAATCATGGAATATGAGAGAAAAGTTGTGCTATGCGTTTTGATTTTCACGGACTGACTGGCACCACGCTGTGTGCAGTCTCATAGAAAGAAAATTTCAAAACCTGCAGACAGTGCCATATAATCCTTGAGGTTTTCATTATACTGAACCCCATTTTTGATATTCCACTAAGTGGTAAAGAATGACACCAACCAACAAGAAGATGATCCCAAATGTCACCCTGCATGACCTGCAACCTCTTTGCCAACAATACACACACAGCATAGCCGTTCCCTCGTGCTGTAACCATGGATATGGCTGCTTCTTTATTTACTAAGATTCCCATTAGCTTTTGCATTGCAGCAGCTATTCTTCCTGGTACTGCGTTAACCGTGTTGTTTGAAAGTAGCACTTTTTCTTCTTCACTGGCTCAGTTGGTCACCTGCACCCTCATCATCAGTTGTTGTGTCTGTGTCGGGACCTCTCGTTTTCTCTCCCTCTCCACCAGGCTCATTTTGCACGCACGTTAACTTAACAAGGGCTGCAGACTAAACTTTTCCTCTGGTAGCACTGGTGCTACCAACCCCGAGCACATGATTTGGTCACACTGTGAACAGATGTTCCTCTTTTGCTGTGTTACAGGCCGTTTTGAACTTAAGAACCATCTCATTCTCCTCCATGGAGCGACTGCCCTTATCAAACCACTGAAAGAGGTGGGGAGGGGCCCAGTGTTTGGCTCCCCCTCAGGGTTTGGGTTTCTTACTGTCGTTGTGCAACTTTATTTTTCAAGCTTGAAGTCATATGTAACTTTTCCACATTAAAGTGTCTAAAAATCCTACAATATATACTTGTACCTTTAATCAGTTTGAGAGAATGAAAAAAGTCTCAAAAAGATCAAATAATTATAATGAATCAAAATCTTTTGTGCTGAAATTTTATCCCAAACTAAATTGCCAGTTTTAATAGGTGTTCTTATTGTATTTTATTTGTACCTTAGAAAATCATGATACAGCTAAATGTAAATCAGCCTGCACTGCGGGTTTTGGCTTGGTTTTGACAACATCTTCAGACAAATGGTAAACCAGCTTTGAAGAAGTGAAAAATCAAAATCACACTAAGTCAGTTATCCATGTAGATTAAAAAACAGGAAGTTTGAGTAAACTCTGGAACAATGATTAGTATAGTCAGTCTAACTCAGTTTAAACTAATTAAAATAAAACTGTATTGGTTGATGAGAACCTGTCTGAGTCTGTTCTCATTAACTGTAAAATAATATAAAAGTAATGCAAAGCAATTCTTATTATAACCTATTTAACCACATAAAACAAGAGGAAGAGCTCATATTACTGTCTTGCAGTCTGAACTTTTGTCTTCAAGCTCCTCTAACCTAGATTCAACATGCAGCCATTTTTTTCAGCAGTACTTAATTTTTCAGTGTGCTTATTGTGGTGTCAGTGTTGTGTACCACAACTTCACCTATGTGAGTGTTTCATTGAAATATAGTGAAACTAACTGAAATGATCCGACTGATCTGATCTGATTGAGTAGGTTAGTGGGATGGAAACAAATGGGAATAAAGTCTAGTAGGGTTCAGGTTGAAGACTTGTTGAACTGCTACAGTACAGCTACCCAGCAGTCAAAAACAGAAGTGTGGTTTTTATTTGGCAGCTCAAAAGTGTGAATGTGAAGTAGGGTGGTGCTGAAAAAGAGCTCAGAAAACATTCCCTGAATATATAATGGTAAAAAAACTCAGGTTTCCCAGAGGGTACAGAGTGCTGTCGAGCTGTCATTGCACTGCAGCCATGAGATATACACTAAAAGCCAGTCCTTGTCCTCTGATTGGCTACTGTCCTGCTGTGATGTCATCAGAGCTTGATTATATAAAGGGTAACGGGCTCAGCTGCTTCAAAAGGGCAAGTGAGTGAGGAAAGAGAGAATGGCAGGCTGTGCGTGTGTCACACACAAAAGTAGGCATTCATAACAGCAAGAGGAAGAGAAGCTAAAAGCTGCTGACAAACACATTATGATGATACTTTGTGATGTGGATTTAAAGGCCTCTGGATTATCAAATCACTGGATTGTAAAGCACAGGACAGAGCCTGGAGGTAGGAAAATTAACTGCAGGTCTAAAGACATATGCTACATATACATCTATCTATCATCTATATATATGTATGTGTGTGTGTGTGTGTGTATATGTGGCACACAAGTGTCTAATTATTCACACAATTTACGAATTACTGAAGCATAAAAGGAGTTTAGTCTTGAATTACATGGTAATGGATAAACTAGTAGCATTAAAACGTTTATAATCATTTTTACACAGTAAAAGACTCAGATCTTCCCAAGTTTTAACAGTGTATTACAGTAGTTAAAAGCTGACGAATGAAATTATAAGATAAAGTTGAATCTTTTCTAACATATAATGAATTGATTTTGCACATACACGACAGGTGTTAAAACTTTAAAGTCCCAAATATTTCAAAAGCATCGTTCTGATTCTCTTTTCTTTATTCTAACAACAGCCAAATGAAAAGGGGATCTGGCCAAACATAATTGAACAGAAATTAATCTGATTTTTTCAGCGTGTTTTTCTCATATTAACAAATCCAAACTAGCTTTCATCTTTGACATATATGGTTTGTTTTATCACGACAGCAAAATGTTTCATGACATGTTACCAGAATGTTTGTGCTTTTCAAAGTGCACAAAGACATTTCTCTTCCCTCACAATTTGGTCTACTGTCGTCAGTTTATTCTACTAAGCGCTGCAAGAGCTGGGTGTTTTGTGTGCGTGTGTATTTTTGTGTTTGCACATGCACTTGTGCCTGTGTGTTGTGTTTGTGCATGGACTATTGTGGGCACTTTTGTGTGTGTTTAAGTGCTCAGTATAATTGCCACCACCAAGCTTCCTCTGCTTAAATATTGGGCTATTTATGTCTCTGTAAATCTTTTGTGTTTGATTCTTGGCCTAAGAGAGACGGTCAAGTTTCTTTGTGTGTGTGACTGTTTAAACAGCTCAGGGAGGGAGAAGAGCAGAGCCTCTTTGGCAAGCTTGACTATGTGTCAGTGGAGGTAGCCGCCCAGATTATTGATCTAATCAGTGGGGGCAGTGAATAGTCATGAGGCACCATGAAAGATCCATCGGTGTAAAAGTTGGCAGGGTTAGCTTTAGGCTTCATGAGGAAAGAAACAAGTGCACTAACCATTTTACAAACATGAATCTAGATGAAATCATTTCTGCGGTGACATTTAGCCTGGTATGAGATGTATGTATGTGCATTATTATCTGACTAGACGACGCCTCATCCATTACAATTGAAACAGCCTTCTAAGCATCAGTGATGAAACACTGAAACTTGCCCCACACACTGGCACCTCCATATTCTCTAAATGTAAACATGTTGATTTGGGGACACTTAGGAACAATGACAAATTTTGACACAAAGGTGTCTGATGAGGACAGCAGAGAGAGACAGATTGATTGACAGCACACCAACACTGATAATTAACATTCGCTGCCTTGTAACACTAATGTAATGACACTGTAAGGCTCTACTTGTGAGATGATTGTCATAAGAAAATAATCTCATTATGGTCCGCCCTGGCATTTTGACATGCATCCCAAAATTCAACACTTTGCTCATTGACCAAAGGAGAACTGGGTAAACACTTGTGGATCCATGTAACTATTTACAGCCTGTGTTAATATGTGTTGTGAGTGTGTTGGAATTAAGTCAACACGCATAAAAAACCCAAGTGTGCATGAAAACAGAAGATCCAGTTAACCAAACAAGCTCTGGAGGTGCATTGAAAAACAAATGCCGTACATAAGCTGTTCCCTTTTAACTGTGTGTATGAGAACAACGCAAAAAGAAAATAAACTGCCGCATAAAGTAAACAGATAAAATGCAGCTCGAACAGTAATACTGTAGGACCAGTTATGGTCCTAAACCATTGCTTACTACAGTACCATCTCTGCTGTCAATTAGACCATAAAAGAGCTTTTCATGCTCAGCCAGGCAACCCTGTGTAGATGAAAGCTAATGGCTTTTTTTCCTATACATACTGTTTAGCCTTACTATGAAAATAATTGAGCAATTAAAAATGCATGACATCAAAATTTCAATTTTATGTGGTGGTGCCTCTGAGCCAGTCCAGGCAGACTCATACACAACATACAGTATGTATTGTACTCACTGCAACATATGTTCAATGCAACCATAGCAATAAGACAGTATATTTAAGCTGCCTGGTCTTACTCTGGCAATGTTACTACTGCTGCTGCTCTTTTGCAGATACTATTGCATATCCTGCTCCTTTGTGAAAGTACACATATGTTCATATCTGTAAGATAATGGCAGAAACTTTAACCTGCTGACCTCCCTCATCATACTTGATGTTGACCTTATCTTCTCATATCGTATGGACACTCATCTCTCTCGCGCGCGCACACACACACACACACACACACACACACATATATATAGCATGTATACAGGCACAAACACATAGGTTTGGCACTTGCAGGAAACGCCCTTCTTCACTTACCACTACAGGAAACTGCTGCTGATGCTATAAGTGTGTTCACAACATTCAACTTGTAGTGCAACATATAGATAAGTGCAAGGATTTAAGGATGATGTAGACCATCTTCATCAACACTGAGGGAGTAAAGAAAGACTTTAAGCCTCAACTGGACACACAACCAATACTGAAGACGGCAAAATCCCACAAACAGTGCAAACAACTAAATCCCCATAACACACAAGCAAATGTAAAAACATAAGCCACCCATCTCTTAGAGGGGCTCCTCCTATTTAAACTGCTCTCATACAGGATGACTCAAATTCAAAAATGTAGCTGTTCTGAATTTCAATCACTTTAAAAACATATATAGCTAGTCTTTATTTGTTTTAATCCGTTATGAAGGAAGCCATGTTGTTCTGTGTGTGTTATGACTATAGATCATGGAATCTGTGAGCACTGTGTCAGCACAGGCTAACCAATCGCAGCACAGCAACTCCTCACTGGCCTCTGATTTGTCAGCGAGCTCGTCGGAGTACAGTGACCCTGAACTTGTGCTGCTGGGTGCTGCAATGGCCATTCTGGTTCTGGCCATAGTTTTTGGTAAGTTACAAAACATTTCATCGTTTCAGTTAGTCAGTGGATTTCTTTTTCGGATTAACTGATTGTAGGGGTCAAAACTAAAAAATATTTTTTACAGCTGATTTAGACGACATTCAAATGTCTCCTTAAGTTACATTACTCTGAATGTATATTTTCTTCTGTCAAGGTAACGTCCTGGTGATTACCGCCATCCTGCGGTTCCAACGACTCCAAACAGTCACCAACCTCTTCATCGCCTCTCTGGCTGTTGCTGACCTCATCATGGGCATGGTTGTGGTGCCCTTTGGCTCCAGCTACATCCTGCTGGAGCGCTGGCAGTTTGGAAACTTCATGTGTGAGTTCTGGACGGCCACTGATGTGCTGTGTGTGACAGCCAGTATAGAAACACTGTGTGTGATTGCTCTGGACCGCTACCTCGCCATCACCTCGCCACTCCGATACCCAATGCTGCTCACCAGGTATGACCCGAGATGCTGACATTTTGGTCTGGTTGTGTGGGTTCTGAATCAAAAGTAAGTCTTACTGAATAGGTAAACATATAACTTTTCAAAACTTCAGGCCTGAGCTGCTAAATGAATATGACATTTAATAGATAAATCTACAGTCAGTCACATAGAGACGATAACTGCCGCTCCACTCTGCATGTTCAAACCTTGCAGCATGTTGCACATCCAACCATGCCGCAATCAGTGATGTCACAGCAGGTGTTTTCTATCTTGTCAAAGGCTGTTGAAACAACACGTTTTGGGTTATGACCAAAGGTGCACAATGCTGGAAAATGTGAATCCATAAAGATTTACAATGGTAGCATTCTGCTCTGTATAACTCAGTGTGGTTAAATCCTTCCTCCAGCATAGCTGGATAGGTTCTGTAAATCGTCACTGCCACTAGATATCCCGCTAAACGACCAGCATCTCAGACCAAAACAAACGCTTCGTCGGCCACAGCTTCCCCTCCCCTCCCCTCAGTTCTCAGTCAGCAAGGTGTTAAGAAGCCCAGTGAAAGCGGCCACTAGGCACACAACAATAAGCACAATGGAATGCAGTTACCCTGTGTACATAAGAGCCAACAAAAAACAATCAAGCCACAGCCATTAACCCAAGCTAACATGGCCGTGATATGCTCCACAGCAATGCTAGCAGCTAGCCAGCTAGCGATAGCGACATTTGCCGAACAAATTCATAACAGCAGTTAGCTAACGTTACTATGGCAACTGTAGCTCGTCATTAATGGAAAAAAACGTGTAACATCATGTAGCCATTAAGTTACTTACATGCGGAGGAGAGGAAGCCATGTCTGAGTCAAGCTGGGGTCCTTTAGCCGCTGGTGGAGCTCTCCTCTGCTAAAGTCAGACCAGTACTGGCTCCAAGGTCCGACTGAGAAAGAACCGGACGCACAAATGAGACGGTAAAAACTTTATGGATGTTTTTATTGTCCACTGTCCGACCAGGATTTGAGCCGGTAGTCCCCATGTCCAGTCCCTGTGCCCTGGTTTTATCTCTTTCTTTGTCTGGGATGTTTTGGACGAAAATGTGGTTCTATCAGTGGATGACACTCTAGATGTTCGTTTCACCTGAATGCTGCACACTGCACTGTGCCATCTCACCTGTGGGCGGTCCATATGTGTTTATGAACATGGGGAAGGCCAATGGTTTAACAGGAGGGATCCACATGCACTGACGCGCACACACACATGCACTAACATGCACGTGTACATGCAGTAACAGGCACATGCTGCCAGACCAGATACCAAAACAAAAAACAGAAACTTAGAGTACAGCATACATAAGAGCTGTGTCTTAGAAAATAGTTGTTTGCTGCTACATTATTGTTTAAAATCTTAAAACCTTTGAAATTGCAATTGTAAAACGTTTGTTAAAACAGCTATAATTCATACTTTTTCTGAGCAATACCAATGCATGATGAACCTACAGAGAATTATCTCCTGAATCTGTAGCGCTCCTTGGTTTGACAGAGCTTTGTTAACAGTGATCATAATGTCAAACCAGCACAGTATTTCTCACTTATCTGTGTTTTTACTAACATATTTACAATATTGTCTCTTTCTAACAGGGGTCGTGCCTTGGCCGTGATCCTCGGGGTTTGGGCAGTGGCCTCCCTCATCTCTTTCCTGCCCATTCATCTGAAGCTGTGGGTGTCACGTGAGGATGAAGCTAAGCGGTGCTTGGCCGATATGTACTGCTGCGACTTCAACACCAATGCAGCATATGCTGTGTCCTCCTCCATTGTGTCCTTCTACCTGCCACTGGTGGTAATGATTTTCTTGTACAGCCGGGTTTTCCAGGAGGCGCAGAAACAGCTGGAGAAGATCAGAGGCAGGGAGAGGCATTTTTATAACTTGCATTACACTGCACAGCTGGCTTATCCCAATGATAGCCCTACAATGAATAAACTCAGGGTAGGAACTGAGGTGGGAGAACAAGCAGGGGAGGACAGACTAAACATGCAGAAAATGGGAGTAAGGACAGAAAAGGGGGAAGGAAAAAACTCCACTACAAAGCGTCTAAAGTTTTGTCTTAAGGAGCACAAGGCTGTAAAAACTCTGGGGATTATCATGGGAACATTCACACTGTGTTGGCTGCCATTCTTCATCCTCAACATCCTCATGTCCTTCCTCAACTTGGGTGACATTAAGCTGCTCTTCAGACTCCTCAACTGGCTGGGATACTCCAACTCAGCTTTCAACCCGCTCATCTACTGCCGCAGCCCTGACTTCAGACACGCCTTTCAGGAAATACTCTGTCTGAGGAGCAAAGTGGGAGGCTGGGGAGGGAGGAGAGGATGGGGATGGTGCAGAGAGAGAGATTGTTACTCCAAGTCCCCAGGTAGGACGAATGGGGACTCAGACCTGAGTGGTGTCAGGGGGGTGGACAATCAGCAGACGTCAGCATGGGAGGGCAGTCTGGAGAGCTCTATCCGAGACAGCCCGCTCACTCTGGCTCTTCCAACGTCTCGCTGTGAGCAGGTTTTAGAAGTAGCTCCAGGTTCTCTGACAAACTGGCGGGCCAACAGTTCTGCCAATGGGAGCTTTAAAGAAAATATGGCTTCTACTGCTTGACCAAATAAGATGTCAGAATTCACACTGTGCAGTAAACACTAGTTTGATGGAGCTTATATTGGTTGTGTCTTTTTGGTCATTTTGAGGCTGCAGCTCAGTGCGGTTAGCAAATACCCCATTAAGTGTGCTTCAGTCAATGTTACTTTTACTTGTGTTCATTGTTCCTCTTTGCTGCTCCAGATCACAACTACGACAGCGGCTACACAAGTAAACCATGTTTAGCAGGATTCATCAGCTTTAAAAGAGGCATGACTTAAACTTTTAAGTGAATATTCAAGGCATCGCAACACAATGTATTGAGGCACCAAAAATCGCATTCACAACGATTCAGTGCAAAAATGTGCAAAATGTATCGCCTCAAAAATAATGATAAACACACAACAAGAACAGCTGCATTCACAGAGTGAAACCAAACAGTAGGAGCTTCATCAAACTGGTATAACAGGTTTATTATTGGAAGGTGTTTCTGTTATTTTGTCAACCCCTTGTTTATAGAAAATGGACACCAGACAGGCGATGTCATAATGGACTGCATATGAATTGCTACTGAAATACAGGAAAAATAAGAGTAAATTATTAAAGGATAAGTGTGCTGTTCCCTTTATCACAGTAAAGAAGAGAAAAGGCTTTAATGACCGCTGTTTTTAACACTGCATACGGTATTTTGGCAATTTATACCAGGGCCCGATTGGTCAGTTTGGATGACTGGGATTCACATGAAAACACGCATTCTGCATTTTCTTAAAGCCTAAATAAGCATCAATCAAAGTTAAACAATACATTAGTTACTAAGAGTCAAAAACTCAGCTGATCTGCTCCATTAAGACTGTGTGGGTGTGATTTGATCGCAGAAATCTCTCATGTTAAATCATGAAAAATCGAACTTTGGCAGAAAATTGTGTGTTCTTGTGTGATCCCATCATCCACAGTAAGAACTGTGAGGTGAATTTGAATAAACATTTAGATATAATCCCGCTGCAGTCGTTAGGTATTTATTAATTAAGACCTGCCTGTGGCCAAGCTGCCACACAAGGCAGGAAGCACAAGCAGGAATTCAGCACCACATTTATAGTGCTAATAACTCTGTCTGCCAAGAACACAAGTGCAAGTCGCAGATCCAAACAAAGCCTCCACAAAGCAGAGATAAAAAAAACATTTTGTTTGCCCTGTGGCTAAAAGTCTTATTTGAAAGAGAGGGTCACATTTGAGGATCACTTGTAATAACCAACCTCAGACTATCAGACTATCTCCCTGTTATTCATTCCTTCCTAATAAACCTCATAGCTGGTGCAAAACCATTTGTGTATCAGACCTGAGACCCAAACTTGTGACTACTGCTCTTTCTCTCTCTACTGCTTGTTCCTTTCATCACATATTTGCTGGCTCTATTTTCTCAGTTTCTCTCTCCAAACATTTCTATCTATCAACTCTTAACTGTTATCCTGTCGGCTTTACTTCTTTTATAGTAAGGACATTGTAATCTGTCAGACGGAGCTGGGGAGATCACCAATTCATGCAGTGGAATCTGTTCCCATAACATCGTGCTGCTGCACTCTGTAAAACCATAGCAATCAAACAACACATATTTTAAGTGCTTACCTTTAACGTTTCTCAGAAACTTGGTTGAAGGGAAGATCAATATCATTATATTCCAAATTCATCCTAAATACTGTGTAAAGACTCCCTACATCAGATCACATTATACTCTTAATTACATTTGGGAAATACCCTCCCCAGCCCAGCCTCTACATGTATAGCTAATTATTTAATTGGAGTAAAAAAAAAACAAAACCTGAGGGTCAATAATTGGTGATGGTGTACTGTAAAAATGATCTACACGTGTCTGCTTGCATGTATGATTTGTGTACTTGTGATTATTGTGTACTTGTAATTATTGTGATTATTGATTATGTGTGCATTTTAAAAAAAACTTGAAACATGCCACTGAATATTTGTAATGTACTGAAGCGTGAGTGAGATTAGGATTAACCAAAAAGTCGGAAAAGACAGTAGTTTAGTTTTCTCTTTGAAATCCAATTGAATTTTCAAATTCAACAGAATTTGAAATGAAAAAAAAAAAAAAGAACAACTGAGTTTCAAATGCTTTCCGACGGTTGTCTGAATTTACAGGCATTGATTGCGCTGTCATGTGTAATAATCGAATTTATCCGAGCAAGAGTTGAGCCAAGAGCTGTTTTGTTGCGCTTTCTGTATCACATCTGTCTTCATCAGATTACACACGTCGAGCAGCACTGAAACACTGAGTCTACACTTATGGTATTAGTGTGTCTGTCTTGGGAAACTTAGCCACATCTGAAATGTGCTTTGTTGAAACTGAAGTGTAGCTTGTCAGTAAAGGAACAGGATTCTTTTCTACCTCCATCAGAGTCACATGAATGTCATCTCATCTCTGTAAATATTTATTCAAACGCTGTTGTACATGTCTGTGTGTAAAAGGACGAAATTTTGAAATTGTATCGTTTTGAAAGTGTTGCTAAGCTATGCCTGTGTGTGTGTGTGTGTGTGTGTGTGTGTGTGTGTGTGTGTGTGTGTGTGTGTGTGTGTGTGTGATCAACATAGTGAGGTCGAAGTTAAAATGTGCCAAACATGACTGCAGACAAATAAGAGTGCAGAAAATCAGCTTAATATCTAATAAGACCGTTCACAGCTTACTTTCTAACAAACGACCTGGGGCTATTTGGCCAAACAAGTCAGGCTCGCTTAGCCGTCTAGACAAGTCAACCAAATATGTGTAGCTTACAACCTTCTTTGGGATTTGTTGCGGTTGTTGTTTGGTTACAAATTGCTTGTGAAAAAGAGCAGTGCGGGAACAGATTCTTAGACTGATTGCTACTCTAATCCTTCCTTTTAACGGGGCCGGCTGCTGCATAACAACGTTCCCATCTTAGCATTGGCGCCCGCTGACAATCGATAATGGAAACAACGGTTTTGTCATGTAGCCAGCTGGGCTAAAAAATCATTCTGACAGAGAAGGAACTGCATGCTGTTGCCCAAACCCAGCATTCATCAATCTAATTAAAAAGCCGGCCATAGTTTAAAAAATTTCCATAACCCTGGAAACTTTGAAAAAACTTCAAGAGGCTCTTTGTCAACAAATAAGATGAGAATGGGAAACGTGATTCACATCGCACTGCAGCTTTAACCTTTTTAACTAAGCCCACTGGACAGACGCCTTTTGTGCTTATCCAGTCATCCAAGTTACTCTTGAAGACTCGGCTCGTCTGTTTGCATTCGAGTTTACGCCTGTGAGCGTGTGTTTGTGTGTTTGTGTGTGTGAGGCATGACGTACAGTGACAGGTGCAGGCGGTCACAGCAGCTACAGTATCAGCTGCTGCAGGGGAAATACAATCAGCTATACTGCCTCAATACACACTCACACACATGCACATGCACAGCAAGGCACTGTGTGTATGTGTGTGTGTGTGTATGTGTGTGTGTGTGTGTGTGTGTGTGTGTGTGTGTGTGTGTGTGTGTGTGTGCGTGTGTGTGTGTGTGTGTGTGACCTGTTTCCACGGAAGAACTTTCCACTTTAGGTATGTTAAAATTAATGTATGCCCTTATGTTGTGTGTTCTGTATACCAACTGTATGTACTAGTGTCCTGGGTATTGTGTTCATTTTCATTTGTGTTTGTTTTTTAGTAATAAAATGTGCAATACGATTGTCCTCAAAATGTTCGCAAGTTTTGTGGGTTGTCTTTTGTCAAGTTTACAAGTCTGTATCCACACACCTACCTGACACACAGTACGTGCGTCACTGCAGCAAGATGAGAACATCAGAAAGTCCATGAAAGTCCATTTTCATCTGGTGTTAAATTTAAATCATTAAATCTGTGCAGATAGTGATGGCAAAAATAAAAAAAATACACACTTCACGTCACATGGCTCTGACCTCGGTTTTGGAAAGAATCATGTGAAAAAAATTTCCCCTCGGTTGTTTGATTACATAAAACTGTTTGTTTTTAATACTGAGAATTTAATTTGAGGGATTATTTATTCTGAAACCATACCATAATGAAACCTTTAATTGAATGTTCTAATGTTTTATTTCATTTTAGATTGATACATCAGATATCACATGGATATTAATTGCAGATCCTATTCCTACTCTGTTTATTTACACAGATCTTTTCTCTCTGTGTCTGTTCATGATGTTTTTGCATTATGACACCAATTGAAAAAAGGACCAACTGAAGGAGGCATGTTTTGAAATGTTTTACATCCTGTCACCTTCCTTTTCCACACGTGAGGATCTGCTCTCACTTCCCTGTCAAACATTAGTCCGGACGTGTCTGTGCTTTGTCTTGTTAACTGGCATTACAGAGCTGACAACAGGCAATCACAAATATCCTGTGTGATCACTCACCCACAAACACACAAACATTTACACGCGCAATTATAGCCCCACACATACAAGAGGACACACACATATATGCACACAAACGCACCCCTGTTGACAGGCAGATGCAGTTTAATCCCTGTGAATCAAAACAGAGACCCTCTGGGCTGTGCCTCAGGCTTTTGTACACAGTACACAGGGTAGAGGTATGCCCTCCAGATAAATACAGGCACACACACAAACACACACACACACACACACACACACTGGAATACATATGTAAAAAGGCAAGACATGCACATGTGCACACACCCACAGATGCTAGCACATGTCATATGGCAAGCACACATTACTAGACACGCGCGCACATACACAGACACAAATGCTAACACACACACATACACGTGGCATTGCAGAATATGCAGTATATACATGCACGGATACACAATGTCCTGAATGTGTGTGTGTGTGTGTGTGTGTGTGTGTGTGTGTGTGTGTGTGTGTGTGTGTTACAGAGAGTTGTGCCAAGTGTATCTTATGATCACGTAGAGTTTATAGATGGGGAGCTTGTGTTGCTGCCTGAACTGAAGCCGACCCAATATCTCCTGCCAAAAAGCAGGAAAGACAGTGAGAACAGACAGGTCTTCTGTGTCACCGTCACACACATACAAAAAAACACATTTCTGAGAAAGTGTTGTGGGGCTTTCCAGCAACTAAACACAGCGATCCTCCTTCTCAAATATCAACAACCTGCATAGTATCTCTAGTTGTGACACATATTCATTTTTCTTCAATGGTAGGATCAGTTTTATACTTGTCAGTCACATAAAGGAGCTCCAGATACACGGGATCACACAGGTGTATGTAATGTTTGAGCTCATGACACCATGAAATACATAGTTTCATTGAAGCTAAAAAATAGCGAGGCGTGAACGATTCTAAGGCAGCTTTCCTCCCATTTTCTCCTTTTCGAAGAATGTATGCATGGGTGCCTGGATGCATCTGTTTGTGTGTACATGCATGTGTATGTGTGTCCCGGGCCGACTACTCTCCTACAGTGTGCTGCTGTTTGCACAGAGACATTACATAATGTTTGTCTGTCCTTGGGTGCTAGGGTGGAGGCATCTGAGAGTCATTTGATGCAAGTGTCCTCCCTGAACTGAAGCAATAAACTGAAAGACAGCAAGAGCGGAAGAGTGAAAGAAGAGACATAAGAGGCAGACACACATGCGCACACACACGCACACACACACACACACACACACACACACACACACACACACACACACACACACACACACACACACACACAAACACACAAATACAAAGCATCAGAGAAATGCCAACAAGTGCACATGTTGGTTTTGGTAATTAAGTCAAGTTTTGCACATCAACAACACTTTATGAATTGTACCCATAAGCAGTGGGTAATAAATAAAACCCTAAGCATATATCTTTGCTGTCTATGTCTTACTGGTGCAGTAAATCTTTTTATTTACAGATGGGTGGCTGAGAAATGTCTCAGAAGCTCATGTGTCTCACACCAAACACATTATGGTGTCTTCAAACAGTCAATCTCAATCTGGTTTGTCAGGCTTTGTCATAAACAGATTAAACACTCACTGCATGATGATCGCAAACTACATGGAAAAATCGAGAAAATAGAATTGACAAAATAAGATGATACATTGTGTAAAATTGTTGCTATAAAATGATAAAAAAATGGTATAAAATACATCTGATTTGTGAGATTTTAATGCATACTATGCGTCTATTTCAAACCATATAGCTTCAGAGAATACAGCAAAAAGGCACATGTAGTGTTCAGGTTTGCTTTCAGACACTTCCAGTGCAGTTGTGGCCACAGAGATGATGTCTTTTGTGTACTAAATTAGCCTTTTCTGCTATCAACAACAACGACAACAACAAAAGATGTGACAATTTTCTATCATAGCTTTACCCACCACCTATGCAAAGGTCTATTAAACAGCTTTTAGGAGCCCTCTGACTCTGAGACTCAAGGACACACACAGACATGAAGCCTAAAGATGATAATCTGTCCCTTGTTATAGCTGCTTCAGTCAGGCTCGTGTCCATAAGTGAGAGAAATCCTTTCACCCTTCACAAACTGAAAGCGCTGATGTGCTTTCAGTTTGCTTTTCACATCCAGCAGCAGTCTCAGATCATAATTAGCATATTCCTGTTTAAAGTACTCTGCAATCCCTGTGAACCAGGGGTTACAACCAAACAACCACACACATCAACTGATGGGAAAAAGCACAACCCTGTCCAGCCACAACATGACTCAACACTGCACTGATCAGTTGTAGTTGGTAGCTTTGGTCTATAAATAAGGCCTCGCTATCTTGCTCGCACGTCAGTCTGTGGTAGCACACACTGATCCAGTGAGTAACTGTAAATGAGACCCTTGATCTGGCTTTGGATCATGGCCCTGATCACTGCTGCTGTGCTCAATATGGAAGTGGGAGGTACATAAATTCTGTATTTGCTTTTTTTTTATTTTTAGGTTTTTGTTTTCTTCTATAGTCACACATAACTACCATTAATTTGATAATGTATGAGTTGTGATAAAATGTGATAGTCAAAAACACTTAGATTTTTGTAGAAATTACAACAAACAAGATCGAATCTGTTAATTAGTGAGATGTGGAGGTGCTGTTAGGTGGATTTCTTTTTAACTTTACAACTGAGAGTGCGCTCAAGCCTCTTAATTAACTCTTAGCAAGAAAGTAAATAAGCAGCATTTTCCAAATTGTGAGGCCATTCCTCAAATAGCTTGGAAACTAAGATGGACACGGGAGATGGTAAACATGGAGAACACTGAAGGTGAGGCATCTCAAGTGACACCTAATCTGGGCTGCACCATAGTTAATGCGCCAGAGTTCAGTTTACGTTCACATCAAACATCAGAAAGGGGAAAAAATGTGATCTCAGTGACTTTGACCGTGGTATTATTGTTGGTGTCAGGCGGCTGGTTTGAGTCTGAAACTGCTGATCTCCTGTGATTCACACACGACAGTCTCTAGAGTTTTAACTCAGAATGGTGAAAAAAACAAAAAGCTGCAGTCCTGTGGACGAGAGAGGTCAGAGGAGAATGGCCGGACTTGGTTGAGATGAAAAGCTATGGTGTTAAACCTTGAGGCGGATAAGCTACAACAGCAGAAAACCACGTCAGGTTCCACTCCTGTCAGCCAAGAGCAGAAACCTGAGGCTGCAGTGGAAACAGGCTCACCAACACAGGACAGCTAAAGACTGGAAAAATGTAGGCTACTCTGATGATCTGGATTTCTGTTGAGGTATGTAGATGGTATAGTCGGAATTTGGCATCAACAGCATGAATCCATGGACCCAACCTGCTTTGTGTCAACGGTGGAGGCTGGTCGTGTAATGGTGTGGGGAATGTTTACTTGACTCACTTTGGACTCTTAATACCAGTCAATCAAGGTTTGAATGCCACAGCCAATGTGACTATTGTTGATGACCATGTGCATCCATTTATGACACAGTTTACCATCTTCTAAAGGCTAATTCCAGCAGGATAATGCACCATGTCACAAAGTAAAAGTCGTCTCAAAGTGGTTTCATGAGCGTGACAGTGAGTTCAGTGAACTTCAGAGGCCTCCCCAGTCGCCAGATCTGGGTCCAACAGAACACCACTGGGATGTGGTGGAACAGGAGATTGGCAGCATGAAAGTGCAGCTGACAAATCTGCAGAAATGATGTGATGCAGTCGTGTCAACATGGAGCTCAAATGAATGTTTCCAACATGTTTTGGAATCCATGCCATGAAGACCTGAGGCTGTTTGGAGAGCAAAGGGAGGCCCCATGTAGTATTAGTATGGTGTTCCTAATTAAGTGCTCAGTGAGTGTGCAGTGTGAGCTGTTAAACACTCACAGCTGTCATACCAACACACACGGGACCTGTAGATCCTTACAGATGATGAGAAGTGGAGATGTCTTTGTACCACACAAATCCTAAGATCAACCTTCAAACTAAGAACAGCCACTCTTAAGTTGTGGATAGTGTTGGGGGCCTTAGTGGTGTTCTGGGAGTTGAAAGTCAAACAGTTCTCAGCTCGAGGTGTTGAGCCTCCCATACCCTCTGTATAGATTTCCATGACAGATCCATATCTTACTGAGGCAAGCAGGAGTTCCCATCCAGCTTTATGTAGCTGAGAGAAGAATTCCAAAAAATCTTTTTATGATATGTTTTATTCTACTATTCCTGTTTTCTATTTTACAGGCCACCCTAAGTCCACCCAAAAAATATATTTTAGTTTGTGTCTGGGAAGATTGAGATATTAACTTTTGTAC